TCATTACATTCCAGTCTCTATTCTATTGTCTCTCTATATATATTCTAATAACAATATGTATATACATCTTAGATATATATCATTACCATAGATACATAATCATTGCTGTATATATCACACACACACACACACACACACACACACACACACACACACACACACACACATATATATTTTTTTTGCTGACAATGACTGTGGAATCTAGCCTTGGTAACCCCACTCAGTTTTTGTTCTATCAGCACAAAGTCCTCATTACAAGAATAATTGGTTCCAGGAAAGATTCACTTAAGAATGAATCTGCACAAAGTAGGAACCAATATTTAATAGTAAATAAAAAACAAAAATAAAGTTGATGAGGATCTTATGTTCAAAAGTGCAGCTAAAGTAATGAAAATAAGTTTTAGGCTATCTGAAGTTTAGACTATCTAATTTTTTTGATCTGTTGTGATCATTCTTAGTATAAAAGAGGAATTAAGTTCTGATTGCTTTTAGGGTATATAATTTTCCACCAAAGACAGCTGAGAGCGCAGTGTAACATTCTTCAGTTTTGAGTTCTGCTGCAAACTAAAAAGAGACTCATTTTTCTTTTCAAATACAGTTAAAGATTTCCTCAAATTTCACAAGGTCTTTTCTTAATCCTTTTATATTACAATCATCCTTTTCCATGTATCTCATCCTTCACACTTGTTAACCAGTCTAGCCCTGACAGATCCTTTCCTGCCAGGGGTGTTCTGAGCGTGAGGAAGTCTTTAAGTGTTCTTGTCACAGACTTTATGAAATTCTCTACACATGGCAAGATTTGCAGTTTTCCCTTTGAATTAATCCACCTTGTATTGTACACTATCTATAACATAAATCACCAATATTCAGTAACCAAAGATTTCTAAGCTTGGCTAAAAACTGTTGAAGTGGGGACTCATAAACGGGCCAGTTTTGGTGTCAGAATCTTCCAGCTCGTGACATCTTTTGCAGTCTCGCAACATCAGATACTTGATAATGAATATTTACATAATGCAAAACTTCTGCACAACCTTGACTTTGAGAGGCGGGTAGGTAGATGAGAAAGGAATTGTAGCCAGCAGTTAGTTTCAAATAATGCAAAATAAACACCTTTACCCCTCTATTTAAAAGGAATTGAAAAATTCTGATCTTGGCTTTCTTGTCATTTTTCACATATCAAAGAACTCCATCAGTGTGATGGAAAGAAAACTCCTTCTTGCATTGCCATAGAGAAGAATAGCCTGCGCAATGATAGAACACGTTTGGATATTCTTTGAGAGACAGTGTCACTTGTATTTTAGCATTCTCTACTGGCAATCCCCATTGTGGCTATTTTATTTGAAGTAGCATTATCCAGTAAAAGTTAAAAACAGCCTCTAGCTAAAAATGTAAAATGTTTAAGAATTGATGGACATCAATCAGCCTGTCCCTTGCACATGTACCTATGAAGTGAAAATATGGCTTCTGGTTTGGCAAGGACTTTGTGGTACTGGGGATTGAACCCAGGGCCTGGTGTTAGCTGGGCAAGCACTCTACTACTTGAACCATGTGCCTAGCATGGGAGTTCGTCTTGGGAGGGCACGCCTCTATCCTACAACTCAGTGATTAAGTATGTACACAGCCAGTCTCCAACTCTGCCTCTTAGAGCTGTGTAATTTTGAGCAAGTTACTCAAAATTCTTCAGTGCCTCACTTTTTCCTCAGCAGACAATCATAATAGTGCTTGTTAAATAGGATGGTTACAAAAATTTAATGAATATTGTGAAACAATTAAGATAATAATGGCATATAGCAAGTGCGTAAACAAGTGTGTAAATAATTTACTTTTGAGGACTGGGGTTTGAACTCAACGCCTACACCTTGAGCCACTCCACCAACCCTTTTTTTCATATGTATATACACACACATCTATATACATACACACACACACACACACACGCACATATATATCGTTTTTTCATTTACTTTCATGTGTATCCATTATTTGGGACACCTGCCCAAACTGCCCCCCTCCAACTTCCGGGCAGAACTGTTCTGTTCTCTTATTCTCCAATTTTGTTGAAGAGAAAACTTAAGAGATAATAACAAAAACATAACGTTTTTGCTAGTTTGAGATAAAGATAGCTATCCAGAGAGGTTCCTAGCATTGCTTCCATGCACATGTGTATTACAGCCCATTTTGGTTCATTTCTAGCAGACCTCTTCACTATTTCCTGGTCACCTTCCCATAGAGGCCTCAGACAGTTTAAGATTACTATATTCACTCCTCTACAGTGAGCACATCAACCACATTCAAGTTTTGGGTTTCCTCCCATTTCCTATCCCTCCTGTGTACGGGAAGTGTGTGTGACCCATGTCCAAAAATATTACTGCATTTGTTTTAGGTCTATAATCCGCATATGAGGGAGAACATACGATTTTTGGCCTTCTGAGCTTGTCTAAATTTGCTTAAGATAATGTTCTCCAGTTCCATCCATTTACTTGCAAATGACAAAATTTCATTTTTCTTTGTGGCGGAGTAAACTTCCATTGTGTATAAATACCACATTTTCTTAATTCACTCATTGGTAGTGGGGCATCTTGGCTGTTTACATAACTTGGATGTTGAGAATAGCACTGCAATAAACATGGGTGTGCAGGTGCCTTTGGAGTAACCTGAGTTGCATTCCTTGGGGTATATCCTTAGGAGTGGGATTGCAGGATCATATGGCAGATCTATGTTTAGTTTTTTAAAAAGCCTCCATATGGTTTTCCAAAGTTGTTGTACTAGTTTACATTCCCCCAGCAGTGCATGAGGGTTCCTTTTTCCCCACATCCTCGCCAACACCTGTTGTTGGTGGTGTTTTTGATGATAGCCATTCTAACAGGAGTGAGGTGGAATCTTGATATGGTTTTGGTTTGTATTTCCTTTATGGCCAGAGTTGGTGAGCACTTTTTCATGTGTTTGTTGGCCATTTGAATTTCTTCCTTTGAAAAAGTTCTGTTTAGTTCAGTTGCCCATTTCTTTATTGGTTCATTGATTTTGAGGGAGTGTAGTTTTTTAGTTCCCTGTATAGTCTGGTTATTAGTCCCTTGTCTGATGTATAGCTAGCAAAGATTTTTCTCCCACTTGTGGTGGTCTTTCAGGTTAGAGATCATTTCTTTTGTTGTGCAGAAGCTTTTTAACTTCGTATAGTCCCATTTATTAATTCTTTCTCTTAGATGCTGGGCCGCTTGAGTTCTACTGAGGAAGTCCTTGCCTCTGCATATTGCTTCCAGTATATTTCCTGCTCTTTACTAACCTCAAGGTTTCAGGTCTGATATTAAGGTCCTTAATCCACTTTGAGTTGACACTAGTACAGGGCAACAAGCATGGATCTAGTTTCAGTTTTCTGCAGGCAGATAACCACTTTTCCCAGCAACATTTGTTGAAGAGCCTGTCTTTTCTCCATCATATGTTTTTTGCACCTTGGTCAAAAAATAAGGTGTGCAGAACTGTGTGGATTCATATCCGGGTCCTTTATTCTGTTCCACTGGTCTTCATATCTGTTTTTGTGCCAGTACCATGCTGGTTTTATTACTATTGCTTTGTAATATAGTTTGAAGTTGGGTATTGTGATACCTCTGGCATTGCTCTTTTTGCTGAGTATTGCCTTGGCTATTCATGGTCTCTTGTATTTCTAAATAAACTTTAAGGTTGATTTTTCAGTCTCTGTGATGAATATCATTGGGATTTTGATGGGAATTGCATTGAACATGTAGATTGCTTTTGGTAGTATAGCTATTTTTACTATGTTGATTCTACCAATCCATGAGCACGGGAGATCTTTCCACCTTCTGTAGTCTTCTTCAATCTCTTTCTTCAGTGGTTTGTAGCTCTCCTTGTAGAGGTCATTCACATCCTTTGTTAAGCTTAGTCTTAGGTATTTGATTTTTTTTGAGGCTATTGTAAGTGGAATTGTTTTCTTATATTCTTTCTCAATCTTTTCATTGTTCCACCAGCCCTTTTTTTGTGAAGGATTTTTTTTTTAGGTAGGATCTCAGGGACTATTTGCCCTGGTTGTCTTTGAACTGTGACCTCCTGATTTCTGCCTCCTGAGTAGCTAGGATTACAGCCACTGGTACCCTGTTACAAATGCACAAATAATTGTTTCAAAAATAATTCTATGAACAGCATGAGTCATTACCTACTAAAGAAACTTCAGCATCAAGATCAATAATGGAAGGAGGGGACTTCTCAGAGGGCCTCTCGCAGCTTCTAATTAACCCATATGAAATCCCTGCAGTCTTAACAAATTAAAGTAAGTAAAATCCATCTACTGGAAAAAAATTTGGAGGCTACTTAAAAAGCAGAACATTGATCTACCATTTGATCCAGCAGTACCACTCTTGGGGATATACCCAAAAGACTGTGACACAGGTTACTCCAGAGGCACCTCCACACCCATGTTTATTGCGGCACTATTCACAACAGCCAAGTTATGGAAACAGCCAAGATGCCCCACCACTGACGAATGGATTAAGAAAATGTGGTATCTATACACAATGGAATTTTATGCAGTCATGAAGAAGAACGAAATGTTATCATTCGCTGGTAAATGGATGGAATTGGAGAACATCATTCTGAGTGAGGTTAGCCTGGCCCAAAAGACCAAAAATCATATGTTCTCCTTCATATGTGGACATTAGATCAAGAGCAAACACAACAAGGGGATTGGACTTTGAGCACATGATAAAAGTGAGAGCACACAAGGGAGAGGTGAGGATAGGTAAGACACCTAAAAAACTAGCTAGCATTTGTTGCCCTTAACGCAGAGAAACTAAAGCAGATACCTTAAAAGCAACTGAGGCCAATAGGAAAAGGGGACCAGGAACTAGAGAAAAGGTTAGATCAAGAAGAATTAACCTAG